GGTCTGTGTGGCTGCAGGATTCTTTCAGCCGCCCCCCCCCCCCAGTCCCCCCCCAAAGCTCCATCTGAAAACTTCCATGAGTGACAGGGGACATGCATTTGCCATTTTCTGAAGAATGCTTGCACACGTAAGACCAATGGCTTGTTTCCATTGAGGGCACTTCCGAGATGCAAGGGCGAAACCAGAGACGCACCTGGTGGGTCTGACCTGGACTTCAGAGTTGCCTTCTCTGTCTCACAGGAGTGAGGGGAGTGGGGGCAGAACTGTCACCCTGCATGGTGCGGGGTGGTTGGATGTCAGGGAGTCAGGTGGGTCAGCACTCAGGTTTCCTGACATGCTCAGACTGGCACTCAGTGGGGACACTCAGCGGGGTGCAGACACACTAGAGTCCAATGCTGGCCGTGCGGGTAGGTACCCGGAGGCCAGGGGCTGTGCACGGAGCCCGCTGGAGGCTTGCAGCGTGGACACGAGAGGCTTGGGTTCAAGTTCTGGCTCTGCCATTGTCTACCCATGGGCCCTGGTGCGCATCACTCTGATCCCCTGCAAAGGGAGGCAGGGCAGGGCGGGCAGAACTTGTTCCTCATCCCCAGGTGAGAAAGGCAGGGACGCTGGGCCTGGGTCGTGGAAAACTGCTGAGCAGAACCAAGACCCCGGGGAGTGTTCTCAGGATCCAGGGAGCTGGTGGGAGCTTCGGTAAAGAACAGAAGCTTCTGGGGAAGTGCAATAGGGATGGTTCCGGATGCCTGCCCTCTGCCCAAAGTGTCTCTTCTGGTGAGTACGAAGATCAAACTGGCCTTTGAAAAATTTTAAAAGCAGAAAAGGGAAGAAAATCAATGTGTTATTTTTTCCTTCCCTGTAGAGGCTAAATGTACTGATCAGTTTTCTTTGGCCAATTAGTAGCTGTGCGGACCCAGTGACGGACTCCTCTGGAATTCTCTTATTTTATAATAATGAATTCATGACTCATTATTATTCTTAAAAAAAAAAACAAAAAGTACCAGGAAGAAGAAACAAACCAGCCTCATTTCCTCATCACCCGCCTCTTACTTGATTGTCACTGTCCCATGATGTTCAAATTAATTTCAATAATTTTAAGATCTTCTGAGTCAATCCATTGATAAGTACTTTTTGTGCACCTGCTGTCAGATCATCTCCGGATCTGCGGAGCCATGTGCACACATATGAAGGCCGGTGAGTAACGTCCACGCTCAGCTCACGCTCCCTGCAAGGCCAGGGAGTCTGGGAAAGGCCGCGGCTTTCGTAGCCCACAGGGCACATCCCTCCCTTCTTCAGAACCGGAGGGCTGTGGCTGAACCCAGCCTGGAGCACTCGCCACCTCGCAGGCCTAGCAAAGGCTGTGCAACTACCAACTTGGAAAAGACAAGTCAGGACAATCCAGACGCGACTTGCTCCAGGGAGCAGGGAGGTAGGGACGGCAGAGCCCCACGGGCAGCAGTATATGGCGGACCGACGTCGGCCGTGCCACAGCAAGGGAAGGGGCAGGGGAGGGAGAGAGAGACCAGGATGCGTTTCTGCTGCAGACCACGCTGCAACCCAGGGCCTCCTCCTCTGCAGGGCCGGACATCCTCTGGGGAAGACGTGCAGCTGGGACAGGGTAGGAAGGGGCAGGGGAGAATAAACAAGGAGTGAATTTCCTGCTGCCCCTGGAGACAATGAATCCTTTTGGTGACAACAGAGGTTAATGTCTCAGGCAGCCATCCACCGCACCGCTCACAGGATACCTCGCTTGGAACAAGCTGTTTTAGTGGCCTGCTGTAGATTTTATAGAAATGGCCAATTCATCTCACCATTCGGAGGCTTTTAACACCGATTTATGAAAAGTTCAAGAACTTCTACCACTCTCCATGTACCTGTATCCACGTGCAGACCGCCCCCTACCCACTCAGTCCCTCTAAGGACACCCGCCTGCTAAGGATTTCAAGCTCACACACACGCCACTGCTGTTATTGACTCTGCAGAGGGAAAAAAACAAAGGTGGTTTCTCCTGGATTCCTCTCCCCTCCTGCTGTGCCTACCCCTAACAGGTGGTCCTGTCCCTTCTCCTTCTCAGCAGACCGATTCCTTTCAAAAGCGGCAAGAGAAGCAAGGAACTATCTCCCGATTCTCATTTTCATTAAGAGGTGAATGGAAAGCAACATCCCCAGAACAAAAGCGCCTGCGAAAGCCGGAGAGCAGGAGACAGCAGAGGCAGACAGCGTCGTGTTTCGTCTGGAGTCATTAGCAGCCTCTGGGGGAGAAGACTTGAAATCTGTTCACAACTTCTCGGGTGCGGGCAGGAGGCACAATGGGGAGGTGATGGGGGATCTTTTCTGAGAGTCCAGTTTCTCACAACACATGCAGGGCGGGGGAACCGAAGCACTGGTAACTTGATTTCCCTTAAGAACGCCCCTATTGTGAATGCTCAGAAAAGCATGCACGTGAGGGCCCACAAGGACCGTCTGTACCAACCTTCAGAGATAAGTGCACTCACAATCGTTGGAAATCAGTGCACCCTTTGAAAATAAGTGGCTTAAAATCTCCAAACTACTTCCTAAGTGGCCAAGGCCCGACTTCCTGGGGGCGGGGGGGTCCTGAGCCTCAGAGCCCTGTGTGGACAGAGGCTTTGGAAAGGAAAGGCCAGGTGGACTGGGAGCCCTGAACCCTCGCTCACCTTCCTACCTGGGCCTTGGCTACAAGTGGAAACGGAATTCTGGTCCTGAAGGGAGCCTGACCCGCCCTCTCCTCGCTGCCTGGGGAGAGGGGCCAAACCCACAGCTCCCGTGAGCATCACACAACCCTTGGGAAGTGTAGCAATTCTAACCTTTTCAGGATGGGTCGGGGAGAGGGGATGTGTGATTTGGAGAGAAAGTTAAAGGGGCTGATTGGGCAGCACGTTTGGGGATGTGGACACCAAACAGATGGCATTTTCATGAAAATGCTTAAGCGCTTTAATACACAAGTGATCCAAAGCTTCCTCTAGTCCTCTGGCCTCTGGGAATTATTGAATGTTTAAAAGATCAAAGTATTAAGAATTTGCAACTGTAACCCTCATAGGAAAGTATACGTATAGCAAGTCACCAGGTCCGGATATCGTTCTCCTGAAAGAATGTCCTGCCTTTTCCCTAATCCCCTGGCCGCATAGCTCCATCCATCTAACTACAATTCAAGGGAGGCAAATTGCTACTATGATCATTTCCCTCAAGCAGCGCCCACTCACTTTGCTTTTCTTCTCTTTTGGAATAAAAGTCTGCCATAAATGTTTAATTAAATGGAAGTCTTTCCACTGTTAATGACTAGCTGCAGAAAAAGCTCTTCATTTTTCAAAAAAGAGGGGTGTGTTTTAAACAGTCCCTGCTAATTTCCCGATATTGATTCTCTGGCGGGGAAGAGCATATAGTATTCAGCATAGAGCGGCTATGCAGACTATGTTGGAGGCAGCCGTTTGGATTGAGAAAGGGCACCAAATGCAGTATGCGTCAAATAGACCATCGCTCAATGAAGTCACTTAGCTATTCAAAACATGTTCAACCATCACTCAGCCGTTTGCACCAAGAATGTTGGGAGTGGGGCACAGAATTGATGCTCTTTCCCAGACGCAACCATTTCCCAAAGAGCGGCTTTTGCTCAGTTTCAGTTAGACCCCGGGGTCACATCAGTTTCTCCCTCTCATGTCTGTTTCCCTCTTTTCTCCCCCGTCTCCTGGCTTCCACTCCCTGCATCACCATCCCATGTTGAGCTTCACAAACAATCCTGCAGTCCCTGCTTCCCGACGCTGCCTCCGACAGCCTCCGGTATTGGTTCAAACCAGAAGCAAAGCACATAAGCCTTCTCTCCACATGGAAACATGTATCTCTCTGTGCACGACTTTTTATAGGTGGCTGTAGCTTGTACACACAGACATAGGTAGCCATTCAAATGCAGTCCCTCCCATTAAAGTCTGCTGTTAAATGCAGGTCGTGTGACCTGCAGGAGTTTTTTCAGTGCTTGTTAGTGTGTCTCAGAAGCACATGCCTTCATCCGCACCCTGATCACCCAGGCTTTACACTGTGGGGACCCCTTTGCCCACAGCACATGCACCGGCACACATGTCCCAATGACCCTGCAAGATCAAGGCAAACAGCTGACACCCCTGCCCCACTGCTCTCTTGTCCCCCCTCAACCTCCCCATGCCCTCGCCCTCCTCCTGGCCTCCCTGCACAATGTCTGATCCTCCAGCTGGCTGCAATGCTGACTCTACTCGCTTTTGGATAACAGACATGTCACTCTGTGTGGAAGTGAACTGGTTCTCAGCTTAACCTGCAAGTGAATTGCTGTTTATTAGAACTTGCGCTTGTTTCTTGTGAGAGACGCATGTATTTTTAGACTTTGTAAACCTTAAAACACAAATACACACACAGCCAGTCGCCTCCAACAATATGTGTGGCTCATAGACATTACGAAATGCTCTTGAACTCAGCTTGAGATCTTGGAATAATTAGGATTTACCAAATAAGGATTCTTAGAAACATTTTTTTTTTTTTTAAGGAGATTTGCAGATGATGATGTGTCTGGGACTTTTGGGGAGTAAGGGGAGGAGGAGGAGGAAAGGAAGAGCATTTCTGAATTCCTCTTATGAAAAAAAGAGCAGTGTTGAGAGACAATTATTGCAACCCCCTCATAGATAGCAGGACTACATCAAATGGCAAATCCTAATGATTCCAAAGTAGGCAGGGCGCATTTGACTTGTAAAGACAATCTCTTGTTGTTTTCATCGCATCACAGATGATTCCAATGAAGAGGTTTGGGAAAAGGGAGGTGGTGGATGCTTGAGAGTTGAGAATGGTTTTTGCTTATTGATTTCCTTTCCTCTGAAACTAACCCAAGCAACCTTGATCTGTGGTGGAAGGAGTGAAGTAAGAAAATGGTGGAATGTAAAGGGGACTTATCTGGAGGAGGGTGGGGAGGGGGAGTGGAAGGGGAGGGGTGGGGTGGAGAGGGGGAGGAGATGGGAAATCAAATACCTTCTAGGCAGCAGGTTCTCCATAATCCAGAATGGGTCATAACTTCCTCGTTCTTTTTGCTGGTTTCATTCTCACTGACACTTTTGGTCTTGCAAACCCCTCTGGAGTAGAGCCAATAGTCGGTTCCCACAGCTATGGTCATCAGACTGAAGGCAGCGAAAGCACCAACGGTGGTTAAAAGCATTTGAACACCTCGATCAAACAGCCCCATAATTCTTCATTATATAAACACCCAACCGACTTCTGGTTCTCGGGAGAGGGTGTGTGAGGGTGCAAGTACTAAAGCAAAAAATAAAATAAAAATAATTCCACTACTAATATAATGGATATATGTGAATAGAGATTATGGAGAGATATAAAAAAAGGGAGGTAAGAAATCTCACGGAAAAGAGTATAAATGATAAAGATCACACGGGAAGAGAGGCTTGCCTTTTGAGATCAGAAACTGTTCCAGTTGCAGTGATTTTTTTTTAAAAAAGGAAAAAAATAAAAAGACACCCCCCACCCCCCCAAGTGAGATGCCTTAAGCTCTTTTCCTAAAATTCTGGTCTCCAGTTTCCATATGTGATAGCTAATTTGGAGATGGCTTCCACAGTGAACCAGGGAACAGCCGCATTCTCAACACAATCTCTCATGGTCGGGACCTAGACAGTTAGAGATTGTAAAAGGCGAGATGCAACCTTCCGTCTCTGCGGCCTGCGCCATGAAAATCCTTTGCTTCGCCAGTTCTCTTCCTTGGGGGGTCTCGGGCGCTTTCGTTTCAGACCAGACTTCCCAGTATTCTGTAAGCCCTTGATTTCAGCTGAACAGGTGCGGGGGTCTCGCCTTCCATGGTTTTGCCCCGGCAGCGGCAGCGGCAGCGGCGGCAGCAGCAGGGCGGGCAGGCGCAGCGGCGGCAGGACGAGCAGCGGCGGTTATTGTTGTTGGTGGCGGGGTAGTGTTGGCGAAGTGGGGGAGGGAAGGGGTTTCTCCCGGAGAATCGAGGCGGGTTTCCCTCCCCCTATCTGCAAAGCTCCTGGAAACAAGGGAGCCGGCGTCTTGCGGCAGGATGGGCCGCCCGCCTGGCCCCCCCACAACTCCCTGCCGGCCGGGCCCCGGCGGAGGCGCTCCCACCTACTGCATTACCGGGTGGTGCTGAACTGGACAGCTCCCCGCGCCTCCCGCTCCGCGCGCGCCCGGGCTGGCAGGGCGGCCCGCCAGGAGGGGGGCGCGGGCAGAGTCCTCCCTCCCCTCCCGGCTGCGAGGCCAGGGCAGAGCCGGGGGCTGCCTCTCCTCTTTTTACCCCTCTCCCAAATCCTAAAATGAGCGCTCTCCTGGGCTCCCAGAGCTTAGAGGAAGGCGTAGCTAGAGATAGCTCGCTCCCTTTCCCTCTCCCCCCCTTCTCTCCCACTCTCTCTCCCCTTTCCTCCCTCCCCCCTTGGTGTTTCTTCCAGCTCAGCCTCTTTCTCATTCCATCTCTACGTGCCCAGAGCTTCAAATACAACCCTCCCATCACAATCAGATGGGCACAAAACTTCAACCAGCCGTTTCTCTGCTTGGAAACCGTGAAAATATAACCTGGATGGGTAATTACAAACAAGGTCTTTATGTGTTTTTTTTAAATCATCGGTTTCACTTTGCTGTTCGGGGGTTTGTTTTATTTTACTGGCACGTTAGCTGTGTCTTCTTTTGGTTGTTCCTCTCTTGTCTCTTTGTTTCTTTTGGCTAAGTGGGGGTGTGCACTGTGTGCGTCTCTCTGTAGTTTTCCGTGAAATTCCAAATCTCGCTCCTACAAGCAGACATTTTGGAAAGATCGTTCATGGAAAAGGGTGCGGAAGGGTGACTAGTGGCTGGGGCTCGGGCAGTGATTTTCATCTGAAGGATAAACATGTTTGTAGGGGAAGTGGGTGAAATGTGAATCCTTCTTAAGTTTCCCATGCCATTCATAAACTGCATTGGAAGAGATAAAAATCTCTCTGCTGTGAACACTGAAACACATCATCACACACCTCTTTCTCTGCAGAATCCTCATCCTGCGTTAATCACAGCATGACCTCTTGTTTCTATATGTGCAACTTTTCCTTAGTGTGAACCCGGGAGAAGGCAGCACACCAAATTCCTGCTGTTGCTGATCCCTTTTTTCTCTGGTCAGTTGCCTAGTTAAGTGAGTGAGACACGTGAGGCATGATGGGGGGTGCACTGTTTTTAATTTTTTTGTTGGGGGAAGGGGAACCTAAAGAGAGCTGTGAGTCTGATGGGTCAGTTGAGGGTTAGAGATGCTGTAATTTCATAACTCAGTTACTTCATACTTTCTTCTCTCTCTCTCTCTCCATTTTTTTTTTTTTTGTATTAACAATTTCTCAGTGATCTGGTGATTTTCAGAGTATATAATAGATGACTGGATTAAAATGAGATATTCTTTGGTGTTGCCTAATTTCTTTCCCTTAGCCCAGAGCTGGTCTGCAGGCATGGCCAATGCTTTCTTTTTTTGTGTGTGTAGAAAAACTACCTGTTTCTCCACCCTGCATACAATGTTCTTCTCTCCCTCTCTGTTCTCTTTTCAGTCACCATGAGGGGCAACTGCTGTGCTCTTGGCACCTGGAGAGGGTCCTGGTGTCTGGAGAACAGAATCCCTGCTAAGGTACCTTCGGGTATAGCAAGGGCTTCATTTGCAGACTGAAGATTTCTCCAGGTTGGTTTCTTGGCCTCTGAGGATGGGGCTGGGATATGGACAGATCTGTGGATCCCACTCAGCAGAGAACTTAGCAAATTCAGCCAGTGAGTCAGGTGGGTGATTTTCTTGGCTCCTGTTTTGAGGAAAAAGGAAGGGCAAGCAGGAAGGTCTCGAGGCCTTTCAGGGGCAGTGGAGAGAGGCTTGAGTATAGCTACATAAGCCGGAGAAGCTTGCCCTCGCTCTTGTCATCTTGGTTGCCTTTGGCCTGTCCTAGAGTCCCTTCAGACTGGGGATAGAGACCTCCTTCTCATCTCCCCACCCCTTTCACACCAACATCTGAATCTTTTGCTAAATTGAAATCAGTAACAGAGGCTCAGAAGCTTCTGTTTGTTCATAGAAGCTACTAACTTCTTAGCCACTGAGTGGCCACAGCTCTAGCAGCACTTGATTAACTTTCTGGCCAGATAATCATTGAGAAAAGGAAAGGGGTTGAGGAGGGAGGCAAAAGCTTTTAGGCTGTCAGCACGGAGAGAAAGAGACTTCTGGAGACATAACAGACCTGAGGGCATAGCTCAATTGTTCTACTTGGTAACTTCACGACTCCAAACAAACCCACTTCCTAGCCTAGAGCCTCAGTTTCACAGTATGTAAAATGGGCATATTAGTATCTGCACATTTTTCTGATATTTTCCCAGCTACTCTTGCTTTTCACTGTTGCCACCCTGCTCAGGCCTCTACCATCCCATTTGTAGCACCCTAGTGTGTGTGTGTGTGTGTGTGTGTGTGTGTGTGTGTGTGTGATCTCTTCGAAGTCAATGGCTGTGTCTTATTCACCATTATATCTTTGGGACCTAGTCCAGGGCTTGATACATAGTAGATGCTTGATAAACAATGGCTGAGTGATCATAGTAAAGTTAAATGGCAGGAGAGAGGTGAAGCTCCTGGTACATTGCAGGCACTCAGTAAATGTGGGTTTCCTCTCATTCTTCCTCCCCCCATTTATATCCAGATTGGTCTCCAGCATCTTCTTCCATCTAACTCATGTACCACTCCTCTTCCCCCTTCCCAACCTAGCTCTACTCCTTAGGTCCCCTCTGCAGACTGGGCAAGGCCCCCTGGGAAGAGCTGGCTTGGTGCAAGTCCCGTTAGATGGTCTGGATCCCCGAGGCACACACACTTAGCAGCAGCTGAATGGATGCTATGAGGGGAGCAGCTTTGTGTGCCTGCGGTTGGTTACTTGGTAAGGGCTTCAAGGAAATTAGCTGAAATGCCACAGGCCTATTTTGAGCTCCTTCTTTGATGGAGTGGAAATAACATAGGATTTGGGAGCAGCAGACCTGACCTTGCAGCACAAGGCTGACATTTCCTCATTGTTTGACCTTGTACCATCACGTAACTTCTCTGAAAATCTTTCCTTCTGTCAAGGAGGACCACGGGTAAGAACCTTACCGTGTTGTTGTCAGTCGTGTATGCTAAAAGCAATGACAACAGCGAATGTGCCAGATGCTGATCTCAGCTGAATTCCATCATTCTTCCCATTTCACAGATGAGGAAACCGAGTCGCAGGATGGTTTTAAGTATCTGGCCTAAGGTTGACCAGTTAGTGAGTAGCAGAGCTGGGAGTCCCATCCAGATGGCCAGCTTAAGAGCCTATGTCCTTACCACTGTGCTCTGACCCCACATATGAGCTTTCTGAATAAGGGTATTACACCAAGTCTATTTCCTTCTCATGCACAGATTTGGTAAGCATTTAGGGAGTAACTTCTAAGTGCCAGGTGTTTTCACACAGATTCTCACACTTAGCTTTCCAAGAACCCTGTAAATGCATATTACTATCTTATCCTATAGGTGAATAAACAGAGGCTCAGAGAGGTCTTGTATCAAATCTCAAGGTCATGTATCAACTTACGTGAAATAGCAGAGATCTGAACATTTTGCACTACTTCAGATTCTACCAGCTCCAAGTCCCATAGTTCATTCGTTCGTTCATTCATGTATTCAACAAATCGAGCAACTACTATGTGTCAGGTACCATGTGGATTCCTGGGAATGTTGAGCAGGATCGACATGGTCCCTTCCTCCATGGATCTGAAGACAAGCAGGAGGAACAGACAAGTAAGGAACAGCCACAGTTAGTTGGGGGATGCTGTGGAGCCACGGAGCAGGGAGAGAGACTAACCCAACCTAGGGAGTGAGGAACATCTGGAAGACGGGACATTTAAGCTGAGATGTAGGGATGAGGAAGAGTCAGCTAGGCCAAGATGGGGTGAGTGAGTGGTGGGGAGCTGAGAAGAGGAAGAGCATTCCAGGCTGAGGAAACAGCATGTGCAGAGGTTCAGATGTATGCACACACGGGAAAGATGACTGACCAGTTTTAGAGAAAAATGCTAAGTATGGCTGATAGAAGGATAGTGATAGGAAATGTTTTAGGCTAAGAGCCTGGAGGCCATGGAAAGGAGGTTGAAGTGTAAGAAACAACCCAGAGGAGGCTGGTGGAATATGAAATGTGAAAACCAAACCTGGAGGCAGGGAGATGGTATGGCAGCTATGGCTGGGCTCCAAGCAAGAGACAGTGGTGGCCCGGACCAGTGTGTGGCAGCAGGGATGGAAAGAAGTGGAGGTATTGG